ATTTTACCGTTGATCTCCGCCCCTCGGGTTACAACGCATAAAAAGAATCATTAGAATTAAAATAGGGCGGGTGGGCGGGTTTTATATCTTGTTTTTTTTTTTCTTAATATACATAGCCATCTTTTCACAACATGAAACTTAACACATGGTTAAAATGGTACGTTTTTGCAAGGAAATATGGATTATGCAATTATGGGGCGGAGCCTAGTTGCAAAATCGATATTTCCTTATACAAATTTTCCATTTAAACATGTTTTAAATTTCATGTTGTGAAAAGAAGTCTACACATATTAAAACAACAAGACAAAACGTCAGCCCGCCCACCCGCCCTTTCTCTATTGTGATGATTTTTTTCTATTCGCCGTGAATCAAGGGGGCGGAGCTTAATTGCAAAATACTTATTTCTTTACAAAAAATTAAAAACATGTCTTTGAGTATCGCGTTTTTCAAAGAAAACTATGTATTTTAAGAAAACAAAGGCTAAATATAAACCCCGCCCACCCACTCCATCTCAATTGTGATGATTATTTTATTCTTAGAAACTTATAACACATTTAAAATGGTAACTTTTGTAAGGAAATATGGATTTTACAATCAAGCTCCGCCCTTATGTCTGCTACCGAATGGAAGCTTCATTACTATTAGGTCAGGGCAGGTACGGGTGGGGCTTAACCTTGGACTTTAATTTTTTCTTAATATACATAATTTCCTTTGAATACCGTGATACTCAAAAACATGTTTTAATTTCCCGTAGAGAAAAAAGGATTTTGCAGTTAAGCTCCGCCCCTTTGGCTCACAAGGAATAAAAAAATGATCACAACTGAGACAGGGCGGGTGGGCGGGGCTTATATTTTGCCTTTTTTCTTAATATACGTAGTCGTCAATTCAGAACAAGAAACTTAAAACATATCTAAAATGGTAAATTTGTATAGGGAATATCAATTTTGCTGTTAAGCTCCGCCCCTCGGTCTGATAACAAATGAAAAATTCATCCCTATTGAGATCGAAATGGATGGGTGGGGCTTCTCTTTTGGTTTTCTATTTTAATTAATATATTTAGTTTTCTTTGTATAACACGATTACTTAAGAACATATTTCACATAATAATTTCTCGTAGAAAAATAAGGATTTTACAATTAAGCTCCGCCTCTCGGGTTACGACGAATAAAAAGAATCATCAAAAATAAGATAGGGCGGGTGGGCGGGGCTTACATTTTGCCTTTTTTTTCTCTTAATATACAAAACCATCTTTTCATAACAAGAAACTTAACACATGGTTAAAATGGTACATTTTTGCAAGGAAATATGGATTTTGCAATTATGGGGCGGAGCCTATTTGCAAAATCGATATTTCCTTATACAAATTTTAAACATGTTTTAAGTTTCATGTTGTGAAAAAAGTCTACACATATTAAAACACAAAGGCAAAATGTCAGCCCGCCCACCCGCCCTCTCTCTATTGCGATTATTTTTTTCTATTCGTCGTGAACTGCAAAATACTTATTTCTTTACAAGAAATTAAAAACATGTTTTGAGTATTGCGTTTATCAAAGAATACTATGTATATAAAGTAAACGAACGCTAAATATAAACCCCGCCCACCCACCCCATCTCAATTGTGATGATTTTTTTATTCTTAGAAACTTAAAACACGTTTAAAATGGTAAATTTTTGTAAGGAAATATGGATTTTGCAATTAAGCCCCGCCCCTAGGTCTGCTAACGAATGAAAGCTTCATTACTATTTAGATCAGGGCAGGTACGGGTGGGGCTTAATCTTGGGCTTTAATTTTTTCATAATATACATAGTGTTCTTTGAATTATGTGATACGCAAAAACATGTTTTAATTTCTCGTAGAGAAATAAGGATTTTGCAGTTAAGCTCCACCCGTTTGACTCACAAAGAATAAAAAAATTATCACAATTGAGACAGGGCGGGTGGGCGGGGCTTATATTTTGCCTTTTTTCTTAATATACGTAGTCGTCTTTTCAGAACAAGAAACTTAAAACATTTTTAAAATGGTAAATTTGTATAGGGAAATATCAATTTTGCTGTTAAGCTCCGCCCCTCGGTCTGACAGCAAATGAAAAATTCATCACGATTAAGATCAAGACGAATGGGTGGGGCTTCTATTTTGGTTTTCTTTTTTAGTTAACACAATTAGTTTTTTTTTGTATAATACGATTACTTAAGAACATATTTACTTGGTAATTTTTCGTTGAAAAATAAGGATTTTACAATTAATCTCCGCCCCTCGGGTTACAACGCATAAAAATAATCATCAGAATTAAGATAGGGCGGGTGGGCGGGTTTTATATTTTGTTCTTTTTTTTTCTTAATATACATAGCCATCTTTTCATAACAAGAAACTTAACATATGGTTAAAATGGTACATTTTTGCAAGGAAATATGGATTTTGCAATTATGGGGCGGAGCCTATTTGCAAAATCGATATTTCTTTATACAAATTTTGAATATGTTTTAAGTTCCATGTTGTGAAAAGAAGTCTACACATATTAAAAAACAAAGGCAAAATGTCAGCCCGCCCACCCTCCCTCTCTCTATTGTGATGGTTTTTTCTATTCGTCGTGAATCAAGGAGGCGGAGCTTAACTGCAAAATACTTATTTCTTTACAAGAAATTAAAAACATGGTTTTGAGTATCGCGTTGTTCAAAAATACTACGTATATTAAGAAAACAAAGGCTAAATATATACGCCGCCCACCCACTCCATCTCAATTGTGATGATTATTTTATTCATCCCGATCGAAATCGAGAGGGATGGGTGGGGGTTCTCTTTTAGTTTTCTTTTTTAATTAAGACATTTAGTTTTCTTTATATAACACGATTACTAAAGAACATATTTCATATGGTAATTTCTCATAGAAAAATAAGGATTTTACAACTAAGCTCCGCCTTTCGGTCCACCATGAATAAAAAAAAAAACATCAGAATTAAGATAGGGCGGGTGGGCGGGGCAAAATCAATATTTCCTTATACAAATTTTCCATTATAAACACGTTTTAATTTTCATGTTGTGAAAAGAAGTCTACACATATTAAAACAAAAAAGCAAAATGTCAGCCCGCCCACCCGCCCTATCACAATTGTGATGATTTTTCCTATTCGCCGTGAATCAAGGGGGCGGAGTTTAACTGCAAAATACTTACTTCTTTACAAGAAATTAAAACCATCTTTTTGAGTATTTTGTTGTTCAAAGAATGCTATGTACATTAGGAAAATAAGACAAAATATAGAACCCGCCCACCCACCCCATCTCAATTGTGACGATTTTTTTTTATTCTTAGAAACCTAAAACACGTTTAAAATGGTAAATTTTCTTCCCCTAGATCTGCTAACGGTTTTCAATTTTTCGATATTACAATTTTAGGATTTTTCAATTTTTCGACTCTTCAAATTTTCAATTTATCATTTTTTCATTTTTTTATTTTTAAGTTTTCTGATATTTCAATTTTACAATTTCTTCAATTTTTCGATATATCAGGTTCCCGAATAATCGATTTTCATTTCTCGATTACTCGACTTTTCAATTTTTTTAAATTTTCGATTTTTCGACTTTTCAGTTTTGGTTTTTCAGTTTTACGATCTTTCAATTTTTCTTCCATTTTTCAATTTTTCGGTATTTCTTTGGCTTTGGGATTTTTCAAAATCTCGATTCTTCAATTGAGATAGGGGGTGGACGGGGCTTATATTTTGCCTTTTTTCTTAATATACGTAGTCGTCTTTTCAGAACAAGAAACTTAAAACATGTTAGCTTCTCAGGGACACCAACAAAAACTTTTTTACAGTTTTATTTTCTTGGAAGTGTCAAGGGCAAAAATCTGAGCGAAGGTGTCTGGATTTTGTTGTAATAAATCTCTACACTTATTATTTTAGAAAACAAACAGGGGCGAGCGCAGCGAGCACGTTCAAATCATTGGAGTCTCTTCGACCTTAGTATTGATAAATATTTTCAAGATCCACTTGAAAAAAATCTTTTATTTACGATGTATATCCCCTTTATGCAAATTTTGACCCATTTTAGACGATTTTCGAAATTTAAGTAAATTCATCGAATTTTGCACCCAATTTTTCGAAAATATTACTCGGTGACCTTGAACACGCTATACTTTTGGAATCAGCACATCAAGATCTAAAAATGAAAAATGGAAAAATTGCAAATCCAAAAATTGAACAAACGAAAAACTGAAGAAACAAAAAATTGTAAAATTGGAACATTTAAAAATCGAATAATAAACTTTGATAGCCTCATCTCAAACTTGAGCCGAATAAATCCCATCTAAAATAAGTAAAATATTATGATTCCCTATTTGTGTTTTCTGAATTCATTCATAGCTGTTATAATTACTTATAGAGGGTGACTCAAAAAAATTAATGAATTAGCCATCCATTTTATTGATCAAATCAGGAAGGGTTCACCCCCTTTTCCTTAAAATTTTATAACTTTAAACCAATTTTTTAAATAATTCCCGAACGTTTTGTTGTAATAAATCTCTACACTTATTATTTTAAAAAAGAAACTCATGAGGCGAGCGCAGCGAGCATATTCTGGTCACTGTTGAAATATCGCAATTTTTACAAATTTCAAAAAATTCAAATTTCACACTACATTTTTGGAATCAGCACGTCAAGATTTAAAAATGAAAAATCATAAATTGAAAAATTGAACAAACCAAAAAACGTAAAAACTCGAAAAATTGCAACTCGAAAAACCAAAAAACAAAACAATTTTTCTGTTCTGTCGAAATAACCTTGGACCAATTTTTTCACTTTAAAGCATAGTTCCATGATTTTCGCGGTATTTCGCTCGAACACCCCCGCCGCCCCTCCCCGCAATGAGCGACTCTAATCAAGTGGCAACGATCGTGTGCGTCCCAGCCCCGACCCAGAGCTCCTCCGAGGGTGGCAGGCACCCCGTTTCCCCCACCCCGTCGGCCAGGACTTTAACTTCTTCAGCGGCCAAAGCAGCGGAAGCTTTCTTCAGTTGTTGAACGTGCGTGCAGCCAACGGTGACGCTTCCAAAATCGAGCTCGTCCACACCATGCACGAAAAATCGGCGTTTGTTGCTGGCTGCGGTTAAACAGTGCGTCTTGAGTAAATTTTTGTGTAAACAACAAATTACATTTTCGCGTCGACTCGGCTCACACGAACTAAAAGCTAATTTTGAAATAAAGCCCGCTACTGAAGTTGCGATTCACACAAGTACGCACGACGTCAAGAGGAAAAGACGCGCTTCACTGTTAAATAAATAATATGTGGCGTAAAAGTGTGCGGGTTTTTGTTAGTTTGATCATTTGCAACATATGAGCAGTGGGATCGACCGCACGTATGGAGATTCGTAAAACTGTCAAGGTAAGACCGATTTTTCCCCTAATCGTGATTAATCGCCCGACTAATTCCCGATTCCGGCGAAGTGAAAACCCGAAGACGGGAAATTCGAAGTTCGTATTGCCGGGTAATTCGTGAAAATTGCGTCGATTACGCTAGCGCAATTTTTTCTGTTTGTTTGCTCTACACAAATAATTTAAATTAGATAATGGGGCTTATTACCAGTTTAAATCTTGAGATTGGTAGAGCTGCTGTAATAAATTAGAGAAACAAGACCAGATGGCCCCATTATTGCGGCTGCAGCGGGTCAAGTGCCTTCAACTACGTCCCTTATTTAGGGTAATTTTTCACGAGAGGTATGGTAATTAGAGTTGTGGCGGGCCAAATCTCGAATAATGAGCGCGAAAAAGACAACGCAAAATTTATTTTCGATTAGTCGGGTTTCGACACCGCTTTCGGGGTTCAACGTGACATAGCAAAAAAGAATCTGTCCGATTCCATCGAGTTCGCGTTTCTTTGACGACACGGGGGAGAATCAAATCATTTTGGAGAAAATTCACTCAAAGTGAATAATTCGAGGCTTTAAAATCCTTATTTTTTCACACTCTTTTGCGGTGCTTATGTAGAGAATGAAAAATGTTACTATTTAAATTTTCTTACACCCGTAGTTTTCATTTAAATATCACTCAATTTGGAAATTGTTTCACATTTTATTATGTTTCTAAAGTTAATTTAAAAAAATGTCTTCATGGTCACGATTTCTGCCTCAAAATATTTATATTGAATTCTTGAGTACAAAATCAACTTTTCCATTAAAATAAGTATTTCTTCATTTTAAGTTGTCTCTTTTAGTTGTTCTTTTATTTCAATATTAATTTAATTAAACTTGTTTGTCAAAATCTCGATTATTTAGGTTAAAATAAATATAATTCTGTCTCTCTAAACATTTTAATTTTTTTCTCAAAAGAAGTCCACAACTGGACAGACTTCCAGAAAATAATAAAATATCTTCAAAAAAAACTAAAAATCTTATGCTACTATCACTATAAATCACCAAACATAAGCCACCGACTGTTTGCTAGAGTGGAAATAGTTTGAGAAGAACACACTCAAAATTGTATCACAACATTCTGCAATTTAACTTTGAAACTTGACGTCATCTCAAAATTTTGCCCAATAAATCCTGTCTAAAATATGTAAAATATTATGATTCCATACTTGTGGTTTCCCAATGCATTCATAGCTTTTATAATTATTCATAAAGGGTGACTCAAAAAAAAATATGAATGAGCCAATACATTTTAATGATCAAATCAAGCCCCTTTTCTTGGAAATTTTATAACTTGTACAAACTTTTTAAATAATACCTGAACTAAATTGTAATAATAAATCCCTAGAATTTAAAAAACATACCCTGGATTTTGTTAATAATTTAGCTTCTCAGGGACACCAATAAAGAATTTTTTAAATTGCACCTGAACGTACTCGCTGCGCTCGCATTTTAGACGTGTTTTTTTCAACTTCATTCTCATAGAAGTGTCAAGGACAGAATCTCAGCAAAGCTGTCTGGATTTGGTTGTAATAATAAATTTCTATACTTATTACTTGCTAAAAACATTCTGCAGAAAAAAGTTAAACTTAGCTCCGCCCACTTCTTGTCTTTATTTCATTGGCTTAATTTATCTACAGTAAAATGGCACTTGAATTCTGATTTGAGAAGCGGGAAAATCCCAGATTTAAAACAAAACCAAAAGTGGCCCCACCCACCCACCCCTCTTCTGTTTTGATTACTTAATTTATAGGTTGTTAGTCGGATGTTGGATTGTAATTTGACAAATAATAGATTGTAGGACTACATTTTTTTATAAAATTTAGTTTTTTTGTTCAAAAACGACCCTACCGTCAGCGTTTACATTGAAATAATTAAAAATCAATAAAGTAGCCAGAATGAGACAGAATTGTAAAACACCACCCCTCTTCTTAATGTAATGATTTTTTAAGGTGGAGTTTGTGCGAGTGGGAGGAGCAATATTGCTTTTTACATATAATTCTTACGTCTGGTATGCTTATTTAACACCAGCTTAATAATTTTTAGGTACTTTGTTTACAATTAATCTATTTTTTCACCACGGGTTTAACAGAGTAGTCTAAGATTCTAATAAAATGATAATTTTGTCATTAATTATCAGTATTAAGTGTAGTTCCTAGAATCAAGAGAGGGCGGGTGGGCGGGGCTATTGCTTGCTAAGAAGACTGTGGAAAAAACTAAACTTAGCTCCGCCCACTTCTTTTCTTCATTTCATTGGCTTAATTTATCTACAGTAAAATGGGAATTGAATTCTGATTTGACGATTACTATTTTACTATTACTATATTGCCCCGTTTTTCTTAACATATATAGTATTCTTTGGACAACACGATACTCAAGAACACGTTTTTAATTTCTTGTAAAGAAATAGGTATTTTGTAGTTAAGCTCCGCCCCCATAGTTCACGGTGAATAAAAAAAATCATCACAATTGAGACAGGGCGGGCGGGCGGGCTGACGTTTTGTCTTGTTGTTTTAATATGTGCAGACTTCTTTTCACAACATGAAACTTAATAAATGTTTAAAATGGAAATTTTGTATAAGGAAATTTGCAATTAGGCTCCGCCCCATAATTGAAAAATTCATATTTCCTTGCAAAAATGTACCATTTTAACCATGTTTTAAGTTTCTTGTTATGAAAAGATGGCTTCGTACATTAAGAAAAAAACAGGCAAAATATAAGCCCCACCCACCCACCCTATCTCAATTGTAATGATTTTTTTATTCGTCGTGAGTCAAGAGGGCGGAGCTTAACTGCAAAATCCTTATTTCTCTACGAGAAATTAAAAACATGTTTTTGAGTCCTATCGTGTTGGTCAAAGAATACTACGCATATTAAGAAAAAATTAAAGCCAAAATTTAGGCTCCACCCATACCTGCCCTGATTTAAATATGTAGTAATGAAGTTTTCATTCGTTGCCAGACTTAGGGGCAGAGCCTAATTGCAAAATCCACATTTCCTTACAAAAATTTATCGTTTTAAACCTGTTTCAAGTTTCTAAGAATAGAAAAATCGTCACAATTGAGATGGGGTGGGCGGGTGGGGTTATTATTTTGCCTTTTTTTCTTAATATATGTAGATATTATTCTTTGAACAACACGATACTCAAAAACATGTTTTTAATTTTTTGTAAAAAAATAAGTATTTTGCAGTTAAGCTCCGCCCTCTTGGCTCACGCCGAATAAAAAAAATCATCACAATTGAGATAGGGCGGGTGGGCGGGCTTACATTTTGCCTTTTTGTTTTAATATGTGTAGACTTCTTTTCACAACATGAAACTCAAAACATGATTAAATGGAAATTTTGTATAAGAAAAGATCGATTTTGCAATTAGTCTCCGCCCCATAATTGAAACATCCATATTTAGTTTTCTGTTAAAAAACGACTATCGTCAACTTTTACATTGAAATAATTAAAAATCAATGAAGTACGTAAGTGAGATAAAATTGTGGACACCACCCCTCTTCGTAATGGAACGATTTATTAAGGTGGAGTTTGTGCGAGTGGGAGGAGCAATATTGCTTTTTACATATAATTCTTACGTCTGGTATGCTTATTTAATATCAGCTTAATAATTTTAGGTACTTTGTTTACAATTTATCTATTTTTTCACCAAGGGTTTAACAGAGCTGTCTAAGATTCTAATAAAATGATAATTTTGTCATTAATTATCAGTATTAAGAGTAGTTCCTAGAATCAAGAGAGGGCGGGTGGGTGGGGCTATTGCTTGCTAAGAAGACTGTGGAAAAAACTAAACTTAGCTCCGCCCCTTCTTTTCTTCATTTCATTGGCTTAATTTATCTACAGTAAAATGGGAATTGAATTCTGATTTGACGATTACTATTTTACTATTACTATTTTGCCCCGTTTTTCTTAACATATATAGTATTCTTTGGACAATACGATAGTCAAGAACACGTTTTTAATTTCTTGTAAAGAAATAAGTATTTTGCAGTTAAGCTCCGCCCCCATAGTTCACGGTGAATAAAAAAAATCATCACAATTGAGACAGGGCGGGCGGGTGGGCTGACGTTTTGTCTTGTTGTTTTAATATGTGCAGACTTCTTTTCACAACATGAAACTTAATAAATGTTTAAAATTGAAATTTTGTATAAGGAAATTTGCAATTAGGCTCCGCCCCATAATTGAAAAATCCATATTTCCTTGCAAAAATGTACCATTTTAACCATGTTTTAAGTTTCTTGTTATGAAAAGATGGCTTGGTACATTAAGAAAAAAACAGGCAAAATATAAGCCCCACCCACCCGCCCTATCTCAATTGTAATGATTTTTTTTATTCGTCGTGAGTCAAGAGGGCGGAGCTTAACTGCAAAATCCTTATTTCTCTACGAGAAATTAAAAACATGTTTTTGAGTCCTATCGTGTTGGTCGAAGAATACTACGTATATTAAGAAAAAATTAAAGCCAAAGTTTAGGCTCCACCCATACCTGCCCTGATTTAAATATGTAGTAATGAAGTTTTCATTCGTTGCCAGACTTAGGGGCGGAGCCTAATTGCAAAATCCACATTTCCTTACAAAAATTTATCGTTTTAAACCTGTTTCAAGTTTCTAAGAATAGAAAAATCGTCACAATTGAGATGGGGTGGGTGGGCGGGGTTATTATTTTGCCTTTTTTTCTTAATATATGTAGATATTATTCTTTGAACAACACGATACTCAAAAACATGTTTTTAATTTTTTGTAAAAAAATAAGTATTTTCCAGTTAAGCTCCACCCCCTTGGTACATAGTGAATAAATAAAGGTCATCAGAATTGAGATAGGGCGGGTGGGCGGGCTGACGTTTTGTCTTTTTCTTTTAATATGTGTAGACTTCTTTTCACAACATGAAGCTCAAAACATGATTAAATGGAAATTTTGTATAAGAAAATATCGATTTTGCAATTAGTCTCCGCCCCATAATTGAAAAATCCAT